GGGTGGAAGGAGTATGGATTCTGTAATGGCAATTTTTTGTACCCAAAAACTCTCAAATGATTCTAATAGCAAAGAATTATTCACACAAGTGCGATCCTCGTGATCCTTGGAATTGAAGTAACTTTCTGAATTCCCAGCAAAGTAAACATGAGCTACATTTTTGCAATTAACTGTGCAAGCTCCCTCAGAAAGCCCTTTATTTCTCCACAAAATGGAATCCTATGATGCAATTGGTCATCATGTAATGGCATTTGATTGATTATTTATAACTGTACACCATGTATGTAACTACTTGTATGGGATCTACAGGTCTTATTTAAGAACTCTTTTATCTTAAAGTATCAGTCGGTAAGAACAGATGGAACATTACAAAAGTTGAACTGCTGCAATGGCTGGGATTTTCTCTCACAATTTTTGCGTAACGGCCACCCTAACAGTCATGATTCCTGCTCCTGGACCTGATATACGAATTTTCACCCTCGGCTCCTCAATGGCAACTAATTTCAGAGAGCCAGCTGCCCCAAAAAGGTATGACCTAATTTCTTCAAGTACCTGACGTAAACCACATGTGCAAAATCAGTAGGTAATTCTTTCTGTTTACACCATAAATTGCAAAAATCTAAAATTGCAAAAATCTAAAATCATGTCATGTGTCAAAAGATTTTTTAATAAATGGAGGAGATCCAAATTTTACACATGCGAGGTCATTAGAGGATTTTTGAGAAAACACTTTCATCGATCAAATTCAACTTAGTAATTTATTTGAAAGCCAAAACACATTAGGGAACAAATAAAAAATGCCATATTTTGTGTAAGGAATTCAGCAATTCAATGGATTTAACAAGAAAATTACGTAAAAGGAAAAAAAAAAAAAGTTGATTATTAGGCCCTCTGAGTTTAGATCACCAAGACCTAAAATCATATCTACTTGCATTCAGAACGGAAAGGGAATGATATGAAACTAATGGATAAACCAAGAGGGGAAGCTCCCTTGAAAGTTTAAACTACCAAATAGCAATGATTCTCAGCACCACATGCTATAAGAAAAACAAGTGAAACTAATGGATAAACCAAGAGAAGAAGCTCCCTTGAAAGTTTAAACTACCAATGATTCTCAGCAATACACGCTACAAGAAAAACAAGTAATTGAGCAAAACTACTATTAAAAGCAAGGTATATTCCACCAAATCCAACACACATCACCAAGAAGATAAAATGCAACAAATTGGCTCTGCTCATTCTCTGTTGCGTTTTACTTCTCTAAGGCCACAACCTGCACTCTGAGGAATTGCCAAAGGCTTGAATGATTTTATTCAACAAGTCCGTCGAAAGCACGGGCATTTAAAACTAATTAGTTGAAATAACTTTATCGCCCACTTTTCCTTCTTCTTCTTAGTATGGTATCCGTCTTTCTTCTTGTTGGCTCTCGCATAAGTTCTACCTTTTTCCTCCGCACAGACTCTTTGTTTTTTGCTAATGGCCAAGACTTGTCTGTCGAAAGCATCTCATTATTCTCATTAATCAACAACGCTTCCGTCGGAGCTCTCTCAATATTCTCATTATTCTCATTAATCAACAACGCTTCCGTCAGAGCTCTCTCAATATTCTTATTATTCTCATTATTATCAAAAGTCCACAAAATATTATCAAAAGTCCACACAATATTATCAAAAGTCAGAGTCAACCACCCTTCCATCGGAGCTCTCTCAATATTCTCATTATTCTCATTAATCAACAACGCTTCCATCGGAGCTCTCTCAATATTCTCATTATTCAACAACGCTGTTCTCGGTTCTCTCTTATTATTCTCATTAATCAACAACGCTTCC